AAATAGTGTATCTACGGGATGACACGTTTAGGAATCACCTATGTAAGTGTGAAGTGTTAGCCGCTTCAAGGAGAACACAGCAAGGCCAGTTCTCTACGCACTTATGAAACCAGGCGGTGTTCATGGCTGAAACGAACACAACAATGAGAACCAAAGACGGTTAAGGGTTGGTTGTGTGACTTGTGGTTGTCTAGGTATACACTAAAGTTCGACGGTTCAAAGATATCAAATCTACCGATTGATCGAGTATATCCGACATAAGTTCACTACGGAAAGTTCAAAGGGAAACCTACTTATCCAGATGCAATTAATCCTTACTTGTGAATCACACAGTTTTTCATGCATACTTCCGTGATATAGCCATTCCCCATTCATGTGGGGGATTGTTGGGTTTTTAAGGTATTTAATTAATATATTAAATACTTAAAAGAGGGTGAATGGGAAATGGAGGGAAATGAAATTTTTGAGTGAAATTTTAAGTTCCCCCTCCCTTGGCAAATGGGCATTGTCCCATATTGGAAGAGGAAGAGGTTTTTTATGGGTATATAAGCAATTGCTCTTCTTCTAGCTCTTAAAGAGTTGAGAAGAAGGCAAGCCTCGCGCCGTCGTCGTCGTCGCTCGCTCGGCTCGGCTTCGGCTTCGGCTTCGGCTACGGCTTCGGCTTCGGCTTCGGCTTCGGATTCGGATTCGGATTAGGATTCGGATTTGGATTTGGTCAAATGATCGATTGATTGATTAACTTTTTGGACCAAATTTATTTGTTAATAGTAAAATATTAACAGAAATGTTATTAAATATTTGTTTTAATAACAAAATATTAATATTAAATCCAATCCGTTTTTTCTGTTTTGGTAACAGAAAAGTAACTACCCTCTTCAATTTTTCCTCTTTATTTTCCCTCTTTATTATTGAGTAAATGGCCATTTATGTAATGGCATTTATGTTGTGGGCGTTTTGCATAAACAGCCATTCTGAAGAGACCCAACTTTGGCTATAAATACAACACTATTCTGCTCAGAATTTTAACTACAATTTTCTGAGTTTCCTCTCCTTCTTCTGCATACTTTTAGCATCAAAACAAAGCAAAAAAGTAAGTGTGATTTGCTACCGAACTTTGTGTTCGCTGAAACACTGGGGTTTGAAGTACCACTACACCAGTGTGTAATTCGTTCTATCCTGGGAGGAAATAATCCATAACCTTGGGTACTAGGAGGGGATTAAATTCCTTAAGGAAACACTGTCAATTCAGTGGGCTCGAATTGGTTTATGTCATTTCTGTTTATATTCATTACTGTTTATATTCATTTATATTTCCAGAATTTATTTTACAAATACAGTGTAATAACAGCAACTTGGGAGTTTTTAATTGTATCCAGAAAAAAAATCTCTGCAGCATTCCACAAGGTAAAATTCTCTGCAGAATTCTGTGCAGCATTCCACGTTCACCACATTTTCTCTGAACGCAGGATGCCTTGTGCACCGGGCTGCCCCCTTTATTCCACAAGGTAGAAAGTATGCATGGATCGTGAAGGAGGTCACATAGAGATGTCAAATCTATTAAACAATGGAAATGGTTTGAAATCACTTATTTTTTCCCTCTTGAATCTTATCCCCCCCTCCTTTTTGTTTCAGCTGGCAATGCTATAAAAGTAGAGATGAACTCTTAGGCTTCTATCTCAGCCCATTAAGTGGAATAGAAGCAGTTGTTTCAATTCCAAGGTAAATGAGTAAAACTCCGTTTGATAGAATAGATCAAATAGAAGTTTCAGAATTGGGGATACCTCAAATCCACGGTAATATCAGTGTCACGCTAAATAAAATGCATATGCTATCTGATAACAAAATCCAAAGGCAAGTCCTGAAGCCGCTCAACTTCAAGTATCTCCTTAAGTCTCACTTAAATATCATCCAAAACAATATTTTTCCCCTAACCTCTCCCTTTACACCTCCAACCCTCCATGAAAAATGAAACATCATGAACTGAGATACTTAGACATGCGGAATGGATAAATTTTTTGAAGCTGTTGAATAGAACCAATATGTCCATCCAACCAGTCTCTGTTATAATACACCTTCCCCAGAAAACTAGGATCTCATTAACCTCATCATCTTTCTCAATCCTATTCAATACTTAACCTACTGAACATCAGATACTGGCATAGTAGTGTCAGCATTTAACAGATGCTGCTGTCACCCACCAGAAAAATTAAAATCTTTATTTCGATCAGTGGTTGTCTTCTACGCATTAATCAATCAATCGACTACACCTCAATCACTAAGGAATTCACACTTTGGGGACGTTTTGTCCATAAATTATAATTTGATAGTAACATTCAGAAATTTAGGAACTAACTTTGTCATCAGTAGATCAATCAACTATGGCTCAATCCAGAACAAATTGTGATTGGTGGAATAAATCCTCTGTAATTATTTTGCCCCATTTGGGTCAATCCCATTCCAAAACTAGAGAATAATTAGTCATTTTAAGACAAATTAGGGGTTTTCTAAATTTAGAGCTCCTCTAAATTGCAAAAACACAGTACCTAATATAAGTATTCTTAATCCGATCAAGGCGGTATTATCTATATTAATACTCCTAGTAATCAATTTAGGATAACAATAGTAGAGAAATCCTTTCCTCTACTGAACTGGGAGTCTAAAAAAGCTGAAAAGGAAAAGGATCCCAAAAGCTAAAACAACATGTAATACAAACATCTGACATATTCCAAGAAAATAGGAACCGAAACAATATTAAAAAAAAGACTCAAATTTTCCTAATAGTAAGAAAATATATTATTTACCATGATAGGAGGTTTAACAGGGAGAATACAGGAAATCTTGCCCCGGTGGATGTGTTGGACCTTGAGACAGCAACGGGTGAGTTCAGAGAAAGAGTCCTTAGTGTCATACTGGGCAGGAAAAGTAAGGTTGAAGACCCCCATACTTTTTAAGAAGCCATTGGTCTTAGAAATAGACTCTCGAGACAAATCTTTGGAGATGATGGTTCTTTTGCTGTTCAGAAGAGTTGGGGTTGAGCTATTTTCGTCCATTTCTTTGTGTCAGCCATCAATACTCTTGGTGGAGCAATCTTTTTATCTGACAGAAAAGATAAAAATATAGTCCTTTAAAGATGGGGTTAGATCTAATTGGGTCCCTTATGTTATAATCATAGACAGTAATAGTCCTTTAAGTTTACAAAGCTAGTCAGTTTTAGGTTGTGTTTACGAAGGAAAATATTTTTCTAGAAAATATTTTTATGGAAAATGAGTGGTTTTATAACTTATTTTTTCTTGTTTGGTTGGTGAGTGAAAAATTTTTTCCGGAAAATATTTTCTAGTGTTTGGTTAGAGAGTAGAATTTATGTTAGGAAAATAATTTTTTATGCTACTCTCCTCACCCCCTATCCACAAGTTCCCATGTTTGCTATGCTCTCCTTCCCCTCCTTCCTCCAAATACCCAACGTCTTCAACACTCTACTTTCTTCAAGAATTTAATTATTCTTCTAAAAATTTACACAAACTCAAAGAACTAATGTGGTGTTATATTACTTTTTTACGCAAAAATAATGTTGAAATTTGTGCTCCATAACTATAAAGAAAATACTCTTTTTTTGTTCAAAAGGAAATTAAAGTACTCTTTTTACAACATGAAAATAAAGTACTTATTTGTTGATAAAAAGTATTTTTTTCTACATCATGAAAAGAAACTACTCATTTTGTTGAAATGAAAGAAAATACTTTTTCTACATCATGAAAAGAAACTACTTTTTTTTTGTTGAAATGAAAGAAAATATTTTTTTTACATCATGGAAAAAAAACTTTTTTTGTTGAATGAAAGTAAATACTTTTTACTACATCATTTTGTTGAAAGGAAAGAAAATACTTTTTTTTACATCATGAAAAGAAAATAACTTTTTTGGTTAAAATAAATTTTATATCATGAAAAGAAAAATACTCATTTGTTGAAATAAAAAAAAGTACTCTATCCATATAACATGAAAAGAAATTACTATTAATAATATTTCTATTTAGGGT